ATGGGAAGGGAAAGAATATTTTTAAAAGTACAAAAAGCCACGCGGGCCTATTGCTAAAAGCTGGCACCGCTCTGAGCTGGCAGCTGGTAACGTGTTTAAGGATTCTCTGTACTGGGGTTTCTCATTTTGCACAAGCTGACTTGAAAGCAGCCCCGTGTGGCCAAATTTCGGGCAGCTCTTGCCCCTGCCGCAGCAGTTAGAGCTTATGGCACCTGCCCCTTAGAATCAGCGAAAATTGGCCGAATTAGGTGGTCTCCGTGGTTCGGGCCGCCGCAGGCCCGGCAGCGCGGGCGCGCGCTCCGCAGAGAGCGCTGCTCAACGAGCTGCTCCGAGCGGCCCTGCTCCTTGCTCGGGCTTGCAGCAGCCAGGGTTTTACAGCAATATTTCACAGCCTGTAGCGCGCATGTTATTGCATGATTAAGGGCCGTATAGGAAACACATGTGCGGATATTATTTGCTGTACAAGCTGGATTCCAGCAGCGACCGCAGGAATATTTACGTTCGTAGCTTGCAAGGAGAAGTGCGGATTTGCCGGGGTGTGAGGACACGATGGCCGCAGCGCTGGAAACGCTCAGGATTGGAGCGCCCCGTCAGCGCGCCCCTGGGCCTTACAGGGACACCTCAGCTCATAAAGCTCAGCAATGTGGCCAGCACCCTCTTTTTTAAGGATTTAACTCATGCAAAAGAATTTAATAAAGTTGTATTTGCTTTTTGAGAGGCTTGTGGGTGCACATGTGTGAAGGTCTGTAGAGAGACCGTCTTCGAAAGGGGTAAAAATGTCAAACGTGGTCATGCAGAGAAGAGAGATGGGGACATGTCCACAAAGCCAAGGCTGGACAGCTAAGTCCTGGGCTTGGAGACACACGCAGAGATGATCTCAATACTTGTTTTCTTGATTTCCAGCAAAGGGATGAAATACAAATCTACCTGAAATACTGACTGGTGAGATTTATATTCAAGTATAAGAAGGATGACTTGAAGATGAAGAACGTTGGGTCCCACCAACCTCCCTCGCCTGGCCTGCTGCTTTCAGTGCAGAAAGAGGCCCTTTGGCTTCTCTTCCTCAACGACGATGTCTTACCCTGCTTGGGAAGCTGTGAACAGGCTCGGCGCGAGCCGCGCAGCCGCCTTCCCGTTGAGCGAAGCACCGTGATGAGGGCAAAATGCCGTGATAGCGGGACCCTGCGACACGACAGGCGCCGGCGGTGGGACCCATAGGGATGTTCAATGACCTGCTGCCTTTCAAGGAGAACAGCAGTGCCCCTAAAACCCTCCTGCCCGTTGGGGACCCAAAGCGCCATCGCGTTTGCACAGTAACTTGATGTCACCGGCCGTGCGAGCTGTGGAAGCGGCGCGTCCCCGGCAGCCTCCGGTGTGAAAAAAATAATAAAGAAGCGGGGATGCTGCTCAGCCTTCTGCACTGACATCTAATGCTTCAAGTTTTTAAAAATATTGTATAAAGACTGAGATTTATTTCCTAAGATGTTTCATTAATGGTTGTGGCAGGCAGCTGGCCTGAGGTTTGACACACAATAAAATCCATGTCAAGAATATTAAAGATAGTGCAAAAGATAACTATGAATTTACATTCAAACAGGCTTTTGACAAAGCCATTGCAACAGGCTCCTAATCAGGTCTTGAGACCTAGTCTGCCCTCTCTTTAAACCCGTGATCTTGAAAAGGAGCTTTAAATTGGAAATTATTACACATTAAAACCTCGACATGGGCCAGATCGAAGCGGATCGATATCTTGCCGCGCACAATAAATCAGCCTGCTGCTCTGCGGTTACTGTTTGCTGAACATATTTAAATTTTCTTGTAACAAATTAATTCCAACATTTTCTCTTGATTGAATTAGGGCAAGTGTTGGAGCTGTCACAAGTATTTCACTGCTTCAGGGAGACAAATTGCTCGCCTGGACATGGGTAACAAGCCAAAGTGTTGAGTCCCTGATAATCTTCCCACTAATTCTCCATTACAGCAAAATGAAGCCATAAATCACCCTGACAGCTGATCGATGTAAACATTGTTTCCGCCGTGATTGCCAGCGCTCCCCGTGGACTTACTGTCCGCTCACAATTCGCCGAAATTACTCCCCG